ACACAGCTAACAACATCACATCACACAATGGGCATCTTCGGTATTTCAGGCTAGATTTGTTTCATGAATGTATAAGACTCCTTTTTTCGCTCCAATATCCGATTCAGGGTTTTCTGCTGATATTGGCCCGATGCTGATACCAGATGCTGGATAGGGGTCATCTGCAGTCCTACTTAAGCTGTAACATTAGACACAATGCCTTGCAATTACTTGATACTTGTTTTCACTAGCATCTCTTCACGCCTCACAAGAAAACAAATCATACAGATACTCTGACAACATAAAACATTTGTAGATTTGTTCTCTACCTTGCTTGCTTAAAGCTTTTAATCTTTTTGGAACAGACTCTTGTGGTGGCATGCAACTGGTGTCATGGAACAAAATCTACTTTTAGTGTTTTCCTTCAGCCACTGGTTGCTATTAGGGACAAACAAGACATGGAAAACATTATTTTCGTGTTGATGATTAGTTCCACTTCCTTTTTTTACTAGCAAACGTGTAAAAAAGTGCATCACTTCCACAACTGGTGTCAAACATAGAAAACATAGACTCAAACCTCAACAGCTTCATTTGCTGAAGTGTTAAGGGCTCGATTTGCAGAAGAATCATCTCTGTGTGGTTGGCGATTAGCAAACCTGTCCATTAACTCACAAAAATGTGACTGCTAAGATTCAAAGGAGTCAATGTTCATTGAAACCAAGACTCAAAGTGGTGTTTTTCACAGACACTTCTGACACATAGTGAGTAAACCTCAGCATACATCCATGATGGAGATGATCAGATGGGCTTTAATGTGTTCATTCAACACAGTAATGCCACTGTCATTTCAGCATGCTGAAACATGACCTGTTAGAAACCACACAAAAAACATTCAGAAGAATGCAGACGAGTTCCCATGGGCTGTATCAGCCAACTTGTCTGAAGAAAAAACATTAACCACTCACTATCATTATCTGATTAACAGCTCTCACAAGTCCAGAGCGCTGATAAACAAGCACATACATGCGCATAAATGTACCGCTGACAGCCGTCTGCACCCACAGCTGACGCAGACCCTTCAGAGGAACGCCAAGGTCACCTTATTGCTTTTATCCTTCCATCTCAGTTTGAAAAGGATCTGCCTTGTCACCATGTGCTTCATACACAAACACTCACTCACAAGTCAAGTGTTCCAAGCAGGAATCCATGAGATACCATCTGTAGCTACGCATATCCAGGACACCAAAGTTTACTCTAATTTCCCAGAACAGAGAACACAAACCCACAGTGGAGGAAAATGCATGGGTTTAACTCATGCTAACATGACTGGATGAACAGACAGCATTCAAATAAAGACACACTAACATCAGACCCACAGAGCTGGCATTACTATAGCTGGATGTGTTTGCGAAAAGCTTTCGGGAAAATAAAATTCTCTGTTCTAGTGACTTCAGTCTAAGGCTAGGAGGTAGAAGTGGGCCGTAAGAACTGAAACTTCTACCACAAGATTTTCCACTACTTGGACAATAACTTTTAATAAATAAAATGGAGTAAGTGAAGTTTGTGAGGAGGACTATACCTGAAGTCCCTCAAACGTCTTGTAAATTTCTGATCTCTACTTTTCTATTGATGAAGTTTTCGCACCCCACCCCCCATCTCCTCAGTTCTATTCATTTTTCCGTCCTTTTAACTCAAAGCAGAAGACACCCAGAACTCCAACCCAAGTTCTCAGAGTTCTCATCCCTCCTACAGTCATACAGTGTCTTTCTTATACTACAACTACATGTCTAAGTCATGGTTTGAATCATGTAAATAATTAATGAATTTTATAAGCCCTTTGTTCTCAGATGGTACAAAAAGCTGGCTGGGATTTCCAGCTTTAGCTATATAGTACAATGGGGTACATTACCTATTATATGGGCTGATGTCATACCAGTATTCACTTTTATACGGGTAAGGAAAGGAAGGAAACAGCCCAGAAGTTGATCCTCCAGCAAAACCTCAAAGTTTATTTGCTCACCCTATTAGTCTTGCACTGATTCATCCCTAAGGTCTGCACTTCACAACCAGGCAAACAAAACCCACAGTCACCTCAACTCCAGCAGATTCTGTTGCTATATGAAGCTAAGATGATTGTTATGTCTTGTGCTTGGCTGCAGAGCACATATTTAACCTCAGCTGCTGGAACTCGGCTGGGCTCAGAAGGCTGGTTTCTGTAAAGAGTGGGGCTTTAGAGCCAGTAGCGGAGCTGGAATGCAATAGACATCCCGGAATGAGAAAAAAAGCTCAATAACAATGGGGAAAAAAGGACAGTCTCAGTGTAAGTAATGACTGTTGAACAGTTTACAATAATAAAGGTACAAGAATCATTTAGTTTGAAATGAAATGTTCAGCAAGACATTACAATGCTATTTTTGATTAGGATTAGGATAGTGTTTACGTAGTAATTACTATTTACTGTACTACTCATTTTTCAGCATCAGAGAAAAAGCGGAGTACATATGTAAAACACAGAAAATTACAAAGAAGCCTCAGCAATTACATATAATTTTTTCAGTGTTTAGTGTGTTCATCCTTTGCCTTTATTACAGCTTTCATTCTTTTCGGGATACTTGCTTTCAGTTTTTTTTAAAAGAAACCTACAGAGATATTTTTCTACCTCAAAAGTTCAGTCTTAGAGGTTGGTTGCATTTTCTGCTTCTCATGATCCAAGTTAACCAAAAACACAGCAAGTAATGTTGAGGTCTGGACTCTGGGGTGGTCAGTCTTTTGTTCTGAAAATATCAGCAGATTCTTCATTTGTTTTGCAAATTTTCCTCTTGTTTGTCGATTTTCTTTTTTCAGTAACAGCTTCTTGACAGCTACACATCCTTTCAGACCCACAGTGTTGGGTTGTCTTCTCACTGTGGAAGGATGGACATAAACACCTGTGGATTTTTCCGATCTTAAGTAAGAGTGGAGCTTGATTTTCTCCTCTCTCTCAAAGATAAAAGCTCTTTTTATCTGATGGTGACAGTTTTGGTGTCTACCAGGTCTTGCATGGTTGTTAGGAGTCCCATTTTCTCTATAACTTAAGTCATTTTTTAACTCCAGTTTTGTTAACTCCTGTTTTGTTACCGATTTTCCTTACCTACTTGCCCCTTCCTTATGGAAGTGAATTATCATACATCACCTAAGAAATATCATCTGAAAAAGTAATAACCTATAATGGCTTAATGGCTGGAAGTTAAATAAATGAAGGGTGGTCTCTGACTTTTGCACATTACTGTAAGGTATAAATAAGAATGACTACAAGAAGGCCTTGTTCTCTCCATGGCTGGTGTTCAACCAAAAGAGATAGACTGCTCTTAGTTATGTTTCCATTAAAATGCCAGGAAATGGTAAAAGACAATACATTTTAACTGCAATCAGAATCAGAGTTCATGTCTTCAGCAGTAATCCCATAATACATATGTGTCAAGAAAATGGCAAATCTAGCACTTACTTTAGATGTCAAGCATTTTCAACATACAAAAAGTAGAGCTGTGCACTCACATTAGCTGTGTTAGAGTTCTAAAGCACTACCAGGACGTTAGTATTAACATCTGAAGGCACGCAGCTGAGCTATGTGCCAGATAAACATCTGGATTTCATTGAGTGGTACAACTGTAATATCTCTCTGGGGCATCCTGCATGCCATACAAAACTCTAAACCTGCCTGGTGGACAACAGCCTAATGTCAGTGAGCTGCTCGCAGTCTGAAATTAAAACTAAGTGTAATTCTGGACCTAATTTAATAGGTAAACAACATGTTTCCCAATTAGGCACTGCACATTGAATCTAAAGTCTAAATGTAAATGACTGATGTGCACTAATTCCAGTCCAGGCTGCTGTAACTGAGCCTCACCAGTTACAGTAGTTAAACATGATGGCTGCAATGACTAGTTGACAAATCGACAACGTCAATTTTGAAAAAATGTCCTTTATGAATTTTACTGTCAGTGTGTCATTTGCTTAAAAATGCCATATAACACTCATATAATGGATATAATCATCTTGACAGATTGTAATACACTACAGGAGGCATTGAGGTAACATAGTTTCTACTTCTTGTTAAAGCATAAAAAAAGAAAGTGCTTCTCACACAAATGAAACTTTCAACAATGGTGGTGGCACAGAGAGAGGAACCGAAACGTTATATGAGTAGGCACATGAGCAGATGAAGTAACTGAAAAATACACTATGTCTGTACATTATTATTTCAAAATATTACAGATACCTGCTCATCCAATGTTTCTTCTGAAATCAAGGGTATTTATAGGACGTTTGTCCACTCTTTGCTGCAGTAACAGCCTCTACTCTTTTGGGGAGGCTCTACACTAGATGTTTGAACATTGCTGTGAGGTTCCTCAGCCACAAAAGAGCATTAGTGAGGTCAAGTACTAATATTGTATGATTAGTTATGGATCATAAACATCACACCACCTCCCAAAGAAATTGTATGGTGCTCTTAGGTGACCTCTTGGTGCCTCTCTCTACTGGCAATGCTTTTCTGTGTGCACAACTGAACGTCTGTGTCAGCAATAATTGCAAATAGTTCAATTCACAAATTCAGAAGGGTGTCTGAATACCTTTGGGACATAAATTGTATCCCTCTCCTACTTTCAGTTATATCAGGATAAGATGTAAAAAAACGTATTGATTTTACATGTGTTGGCATGTAAACACATGCAAAATATAACTAACTAAAGTACCAACAAGGAAACGCTGCTACCAGGAAAGCACTTTTGGTTCTGCAACAGTTTCAAATTCCAGCAAAATACTGCAACATGTTCTTTAAACTAGTCACAGGGTGTTCGTGGTGCTGTTTTAGCCATGCCTGACTGGGGCTTTAGAATAGAAATTACCCACTGTGGGTGCAAGACACCAAAACTCATTGGCAACTCATAATGTCTTGATATGCTGCCAACAACTGTCTGCACTAGTATAAGGGACTGCTGTGTTGGACCTCGAGCAGTAGTGAAGATGCTGCACTCACTCACCCTGAGGGCCTGGATGACGAGGTCTCGAGCCTCCAGCTCTCCCTCCAGCACACTGAAGAGCAGCAGCACATCTCTCTTACTCAGAGCATCCACATTCAGCCTGGACTCCTGGCAACATCACACACAAAATAAGAGCAAATAAACTATGCACATATATTTCCTTTTCCCATTTTTTTTCGTACTGTAAGTAAAGGGAAAGCAGGAGAGTGAGTTACACAGGCCAGAGCCACCGTGTTTCTGCCAGCACTTCAAACGGGTAGGAAGTAACATTGGGCTTATACCAACATTTTCATTTCTCAGTATAAGCAGGGCTTTGAGGTGGTGAGTTACAGTTACGGCCACAAATGTGATTTGCTTTCTTGTCTGTCATCACGCATGTTCAAGAAATACATAAAAATACATCCTATAATTGAGAATATATGAGTAACCTTTAAAAGTCTTAAAACCCTTAAAACCCTCATGAGTTGTTATTGTCATTTTGCTGTACGTTCCATTCATGCCAATTACATAGTTATCTACAAAGTACACTACTTAATGAATTTACATTTATTTTATAAAATTTACATTCGTTAAAGTCTCAATATTGAGCAATGATAAAAGACTGAAAAACTCTCCCTTCCCAAATATAATATCAATTGACAGTTTAAAACAGGGGTGTCAAACTGGGTGACTTCTGGCCATGGCTCTACAGAAATTTCATTTTTATATCATTCTGAATTAAACTTAGAATGGCTTGCTAATTAGCTGATGAGTTGAATCAGGTAGAACGTTAAACTCTGCAGAACTGTGGCCCCAAAGGAACCCAGTTTGACAATCCTGGTTTACAATCTGCACGTCCGATAGAATTTCTCTGCTTGTTTCAATAAACTAAGGGTGAGAAAAAATGTATGTCAAATCATAACACACTTCTCTTATTGCCCGTGATATCCGTGATCTCCAAGGGTCAAAACGCAGTTTTTGATGAACTGAATGCTCATTTGAAATAGCTAGAGCTGAATGGAGTGTGGGAACACACTGTTAACTAAAGTTAACAAAAATGTTACAATTCAGCAACATTACAGAGTAATTATGTGCATGATGGGTTAATCCCTTCGGTTCATTAGGCTGTTCTGTGAATGCAGGTTAGTGAGCCTACATCACATTCAACAGACTGCGGTATATCAGTGTGCTTCACTTTGCCAACCAATGCTGTTTATAGTTTTATTCTGAATAGCACAAGTACTACAATTCAGTTCATCAGGTTAATCTGCAAACTTAAATACATTTTGTCCTTCATCTATGCACTGTTTTATATCTCTTTCTTTAATACTTTGTAATGAATGAACTATATGTGAACTGTGACAAGCCCTCGGATACTTTTTAAATATCATAAATAGCAAGGCAGTAACTATGAAAGAGTGATGTGCAAACTTGCTTGGCAGTACTTTCAGTGTTCTGCCGGTTTACCACCAGACCTATTATGATAAAAAGAACCAGCATGACAGCTTTATGAGCCATTTACTGCCACAATTCAGGAGACGCTTGCAGGATACATTACAGCTAGCGGGAATTCCTCTTTAGGTTAAAGCTGGCAGTAAAATGTCTCAGCAAACTCAGTCAGCCTTGATGTCAACAATGCCTAAAAATGTCAATTGAGGGGAAGTGTTTCTTTGAGCCCGTACAATCGTGTATTACTGGGAATTTTGATTTTTCATGACCTCCACTGTTCCTGGTAAGTACTCCACTGTGTTATGACTCACAGGCACTTGCATGCTGTAACAAATCAGAAGCCTTTCCAGAACAAAATTATCTATTCAAAAATGTGAGATCTTTAAGCACTTCAATTAATAATCACAAGATAACTACAATGATCATCCTGGGCATAGATGAAGCTACATGTGCTCGATACTGTTCTGATTATTCTTTTTGGAAAAATCAAACTGACCTGACTAGACCTCTGTTAGAGAAATGACTGCCAATGTCACAATCACAAAATTAGCATACGCCTGACTTCGTTCATAACATCTAGGCGCTGACGTGGTAAGTCAGCTTTTGGAGGCATCTGTGGGTAGGGATAAACTTAGCATAGGCATATGGGAACAATTAGCCCAGGTACAAGACTGATCATAAGTAGTTCCACTGTTTGGGTAGTAGAGGAGCTGCCTGTTATGGACCACTCTGGCACCAGGGCTTGGGAAAGAAAAACACTCAGGGTCAGACAAAAGGAGTCAGGGGAAATCTGATGCTTACTGTGTAGCTCACTAGTGGAAGCCATAGTGCTGGGAATCCCCACTCCTTTATGGATAAACACTACACACTGTTTTTCACTTCTGCTGTTGGTGAATTTTATCTTACAGAATGTCTCTGTTCATCTAAAAGATAGTCAAAGTCACTAGAGCATGGGAACTGCTTAGAATTTCTTCAGTGGTTTTGTTCAAAAGCAAGGCAGAAATGTCTGCGATGTGGTGAGGTCTTGGTGAAGTTCTTGCAGCTATTACTTACACACACATACACACACCCAAACATGCAAAAACATCTGGATGGTGCATCTCCTTTTCTGTCATAAAGTTCATGAGAAAGAAGACCCATCACTAGTGAGAGAGGGCAATTTTTTTCCATTTTCCCCTCATGAGTCAAAGCCATTTTCCATACCATTAAAGCTGGGGGGGTTCATGTCTTGTCTCAGGGGGTTTTGCTTGTTTAAAGGCTAAAGCTGAAGTTCCAATCTTCACACATTTTAAGTCTCAGTGAGCAAACACAACTCTGTTCTCATCATAATGCAAAAGGGTGCATGGAGCCTGTTCACCAATCTTGTTTCTTTGGTCTGCCGGCACTTCTGCAGTGCTGCAAGCTTGCGTTGAGATTTGTGTGGTCAGCCAAAGTTTCCACATCATGAAGTCATGAGGACTGTGTTACATAATACGGTCTGAAACTTTAGAGCTTGGGCTACTGTACTAGATCAGGAATTCAGGCTGCACTGAACTACAGCTTCCCCCCGCCTCATCAAACTATTACCACTAATCTCAACACGGCATCATTAAAGCTCTCTGCATTAACAGTAATAGCAAGTGTTTTTGTTCAGTTACGCTATTTAATGTGTTTTGAACCAACTTGTTAACAAGCTTGATATTATGTTTTTTTCTTTTATGTGGCTCATTGCACCCAGTAGATCTGTAGCTTTTAAAGGCTTTGATGGCTGCTGTGATTTGTTGTTTAACCACACAAAAACAGATAATTAAAAACATATGGCTCTCAAAAATAGTGCATTTCTTTTTTTCCAAAGATCAGCCTTCATGCCTCAATTAAGGGGAAGATCTACAGGATCAAGATGTAAACAAGCTCACTTACAATTTAGAAAATCTTATGAAGGTCTTTGGCTGGTTTGAAATGAAATATGCGAGACAATATCACTTTCTGCTTTCAAATATAAACCTGTCTTTTTCACTTTTTGTGTCTAATCAGCAGATAAGCACACATTCTTATCACTAAGGATGTTTTTATCAGTCGCCCTCTCTATTTGCAGTATAGAGGTCACTAACCTTTTGCATTTAAAACTCTGCCGTCGCTGTAGGTCCCAGTCATTTCATTTAGAAACACTTTCCCTTGGTGTGATGCTTAAAGCACAACACTTCTAAGATCAAGGATGCAGAGAGAATCCAAATATTCCCACACTTTCAAAAGGTCCCCCTCCCCTAATGCTGGCCCAGAGGCTCTGGTGCCTTTTTATCCATGTTTGTTTGAAGCCTATCTTCTAATGTTCCTTATATGGCTGAGTAATATGGCATTTCCTCCTCGGCCCTCAGCTTTCAGGGGCACTATAGCGTTAAACACGCAGCACCACTCCAGAAGTGAGTCCACATTCCTTCAGGCTCCACAGGCTTTCAATCCAAACTCGCACAAATCTTAGCACAGATTAGCCTCTGAGTGAAATAATGCCAATGCCATTTCCCGGCTGCTGATGCATCTGGCTATTGAGGACATTAATTATTATCGAATTATTTAATAATAGCCTTTTTTGCTGACTTTATCAGTTGTTTCAGCTCTGGGAGCCTCCTATATTCGTATATTCATTTTTCAAGACCTAGTTTAAAAGACGTCCATAAAACTATCATAAGGCTTACTTTGAAATAAGACAGTAATGGCAAAGCTATTTTAATCTATATTAACAGAGTCCAGGCAAGACTAGCTTTCAAGTCATAGGTACATCAATGCAGGGCCAGCACTGCTGTTAAAAACATTAGAAACCGGCCATATGTAGGCATTTTTTGAAGATTTGTTCTTATCTCTATTGCTAACAACCTTAGAGTCTTGTCATGAATCATTTGGCTATTGGATAGCAGCAAATACAGTTAGCTAGGTTAACAATGGTTGTGTCAGCACACCAAACAGTGAAACAGGCTAACTTCCAGACAAAGCCACAGCATTTAACTAGTGATAGTCAGAGAATTTGAATCTCGTCAGAAGCAGCATCGTATCGACTTAAGCTCTGCCAACTGGCTAACACAATAACTTCACTGTATTCTTTGAATCTCCTGACAGTTTGCTAACTTAAGTCCTGCTAAACGGCTGCAGACTAACGGTAAACTAATTTAGGTTAGCGTACTGAACATAAGCTAAGCAAAACTTCGCAAACTACTACACTTGCAACACAAGCATGTAAAAGAGTTCTTTTAAAAGCTTTTTAAGTAGGCTAAAAGAGTAAAGGAAATTCCTACCGTGGTCGGTGCCATTTCCAGCTTTGTTCAGGTCCAGCACCGGTCATCGAATTTTGATTTAGAGCGGATTACATACCGCAATTCGTGAAGAAGAGAGAACGCAACGGAGGAACAACAATTGACATCTCTGACAGCCAATGGGGAACAGTCATTTCATATCGTCGACCAATAGAAAAGCACCTTGGGCAGCAGGAGGCGGGGACTGAGCAAGAAGTTCAGGATGCAGAGATTTCTTTGTGCAGCCAGGCTCTGTCTCCCTCTTAACGAACCACTGTTAGTGCGATAGTGTGGATAGGATGATTTTAATGTTAATTTAAAAAAAATCGACAAATAAATAAATAATGCATGCGGAAGACTTGTTGAAGTGTTGCTAGTAGCCTGCTCAGTACACAACCTGGCCCAGGCTGAGGCACTCTGAGAGACATTCTCATACACTGCGTTAAGTGGGACTTTTAACTACATAATTGTGATTAATCTGCAGTTTAGATTTTACTTGCAGTGTTTAGACCATATTTGGTTTTTAAATATTAATGAACATGGCTTTTTAAACGTGTGCTGAGCAGTGAAGAACCTGTGCGCCATCAAGTGGTCATACATGGACACTACGTTACAACGCATTCAAGCGCTTCATGAATATGGAATACCCGGGCTGCATCTCGTCAGGTGTTGTCGCGCTCTCTAATTAAAATGCAAATATATTCATATACAAGCTTGCTGATTGGATGTAAGACGTCACGACGTGTAAGCACGATTTTTTTTTGTTGCCTCCACAACCGCATTTGGGCACGTAATGTCTTTGCTTTTTAGACGTTTTGGCCCCAAATACATGCTGAATCATCAATGTTGTTGACTCAAAACAGTTTTGAGTCAATGGTCTTTGCATTGAGGGGAATTTCAACTTAAAAACTGCATTTAATGTTATTTGCCATGTTCAACATAAGTTATGTAATATTCTGATCAACAAACTCTCAAAACAATACCCAGCATACATTTACGTAAAGACGTCATACAACCATTGGGACCCCCACCCCACCCCCCACCCACCCAAACTCACAGTGAAAGAGAAATCCTGACTGCTAGTGTAGCAACTGATGCAGAGGTTAATAAACACAAACATGATGCATCATCAGAAGGGGATATTCTTAGTGTTTAAACAGGAAAACCTCACTCTAGAGACTATTGCTGCACCTCTGTAGGAGGTGAACTTGCATGTTTACAACAGATGTAGTAATGGTTCAACTTTTCATTTTGCCTCTTTAAAGCAAAGGTAACACCAAAAAAATCAAAAGACACAGTCTTCCGCTTATCCCAAACACAGTCCATCAGTCAAGACATGTTTGGTGACTGAAGTCTGTTTCTTTAGTTTTGCACTGGAGCTACAAGGCTACAAATTAGTTTTTTCTAATTATTTTTTGACAAGCTGGTCGCATGATGCATATAAATGCTCAATGTTCTACTAGAAAAGATGTGCAATAAGACAGCAGCAACTTTTTCCTCATTTAAAAAAAATGTTATATTACAAATTGAATGCATTTGATAAATACAGGCATTTCACAAAGTATACTCAACAAAAACACAAGACATGATCACATTCCTGTCTAGCAACATACACTGACAAATCCAGGAACATATAAAAGCACACTTTATCATTCCAAAATCTCAAGCAAAACCACAAGATATGACTGTGCCATAGGGCGAGTGTTTGAGCTGTACTTTGTATTGATACAAAAAGATTCCAAGGAGGTATAACCCAGTAAAGGCATTGCTGAAAAAAGATATCAAACTTATGGCCTTTCCATTGTAAAACTGTTACAGTAATTTTTAATGGCATATGATAACAATTCTGAACAACCTAATGTAATGCCATGTTTGATATTCAATTACTCCCATACTTTGACCATTTTGCACATTTTTTGTGGTTTAACTCTCTCTCTTTCTATCTCTCTCTCATTCACACACACTAACACACACACACACATATGAATAATTTACTTGAACATAATTATACAAAAGAATGTACAAAAAGAAAAAATAATTTCTGAAATCAACAATAATATACAATTGAAAAGTGTGGAACAGGAAGCCTGGGACAAGGTATAAAATTACAAAACTTCTTCTAATATCAGTACAGTTTAAGCTGCTGTGTTATCATGCTTGGGCTGGATCTGAAAGTTTGGACCTTGATCCATCTGTAAGCTGTGGTTGTTTTGACCTGATACGTCACCTGCAGACGTACTGTACTTCAAGGTTTTAATTCTATTCCAATTATGTTCTACAAGATGAGAGGAATGTCCCCAGGACCTGTGGGTGGACCTCATTATTTGTGCAATTCTTCATCAGAATAGTCTCTGATAGTCTAGCTTCAATATTCACTTTCATTTCTCAATCTATGTGTCATTGATGTGTGATTTGAGCTGTAGCCCAAATATATACTGTGCCAGGAGGGAGTTTAAAAAAAAATTTGTAGTGCATTTGCATTCATTAGGTCAAATTTAGGTGACCTTAAAAGAACACTTTCTCACACACACATGCACACACACCCACACCCACCACCCACACACACACTGCCTGCCAAGGCTAGGAGTCTTTGAGCATATTAATGCGGGCAAAGATCTTGAGTGCTGGACCCAGTTTGATATTCATGGCACTCATTAGGTGGTCCTCCTTCAGTAGCAGCATGGCCTGTCCATCAATCTCCTGAGAACGGAACTCATCTGCAATCTCCTGACAACCTGGCACGGGAACGACAACAGGCAACAAAATTTAGTGTTTGTCTCAGTATTGCTAAATTGATTTAAGTACGTTTTTTTAAAGGTGCACGTTAGCAAAACTCAAATTCATGGCAAATTCAAAGTCATGCTTGGCGCCCAAAGTCTGCTGCTTTAACTTTGCACTGGGAGGCTAATGTAGCTCACCGATTAGCATATGTGTCAACTTTATCCTAACAGAAATATGGTGATGGAAAACTTGTAGAATTTGATAAAAAACTGTGAGCCAAACTGTCTCTCACCCTGTTTCCTGAATTCTTCACTCTCATTACCCCTTTAAATGGCCATGGGCCTTCCAGTGGGCCCAAAGTTTTATTATACACTTCTATAACATATGAATAGCTCAACCAGTTTGCACTGAAGTCCTTGTAGTTACTGAATAATAAGCCTTAGTATGTAATAAGCCTGGGATTTTAAGGGGTTAACTAGGCCCTATATGAATACAGTTTAAACTTTTTTTGTTTATGACTGTCATTGACAAATTGCACATTGCTCCCCTAGATTAGACTTCATAATGTATCATACTAAATACTGAATTTTTAATTGCATATGTGCACCATTTAGATGTGGTCTGATTTTGCTTAGCATCGGTTTATGGTAGGCTTTTTAAATGTCAGCGCACAAAACCAGTACTCTGGTGTTTGTGAGGTGGCTGTAATAGGCAATAATGTTGGGCAGTGTAATCCAAATCCACAGATGCGTCCAGTTTGGGATGTTACTGCAACAATGCTGCGAGGCACACCAGAATTTTGTGAAACAAACTTTATTTTGAGAATGTAAAGGCTTGTGAGATTCACATGGCCGTGAGACTGCACAAAATATCTGTATCAGCCTCCACAGATATGTACATGAAAATACCAGATATGGGCACCTGTCCACGAGTCCCATGTCCATGCATTCCTACTTGTTTATGTGTTTTTTTGACACTGTACATATGTGCAGCGAGTTATTATCATACTTTTTATGTCATATTATAAAAAAGTACATTTCATATATAAAAATAGTAGTAGCAGCCATCTTGAAGTATGTGATAACTGAGGCATGCAAGTAGCATAACCCTAAATGGTTATGCAACTTGCAAGCCAACTATACGCTTGCATTGCAATCCTAGCTACATTAGCCTCGTAGCTCCAGTGCAAAACTAAAGAAGATATGTCCTGGTCAATCGACTACATTTGGAGAGAGGATAAAATTGTGTAAATCTGAGAAGTACAGTTTAATTGTTTATCGTATTAACTATGAGAAACATGGTATGAAGTTATACAAAGTGAATTATGCTGCCACACTGAGCTTCCAGCATCTCTCTGTAAATAAAGCAGCGCCAGGCTGAGTGAGCCACTAACCTGGCAGTGAGCGGATGAACTCAAACACTTCCTGCACATTCCACTTAGTGGGGTCACACGGCAAAAAATGTTGGCTGAGCAGAGGAAGGTCTTCCGGGTCTGAGGTGGTGACCCCTCGAGGCGGCCCCACAGGGCCAGAGCTGGCGGCGGACAGCGGAGAGGGGGGCTCTTCGTAGCTGGAGATGTCTGAGCAGGGGCTGGACTCCCCCTGACTAGGCTGAGAGGGGAGTGGAGAGGACACGGACTCTCCCTGAGACTGCTGAGACACAGATAACTTCTGCAGAGACAGAAACACAACAGCGTGACTGAGAGGGCACAAATGCGAACAGCTCCAGAATTCACTCCTGAAAAACAACATTTTAATGTTGCAACAGTTATTTGTTCGCTCATATGACCTAACATGTACATCACAGGCAATTCTTTAGAAAGCAACAATAATTTTATAAAGGAAAACATGAATTTTTCAAGAGATATTGGACAATGTTAATTGACATTGAACAATGGCAACAACTGATTCCTAGTGTGTTTTGTTCCAGATTCCTAGTGAGTTTTATTGCAGCATTAGGCCTGCTCGATCATGAAATTTTAGCTGAGAATGAAGTGCCATATACATAATTGGGATTAATAGTTTGTCATCTTTGTTCATTGTGTGTAACTTAATAAAATGCAATCCTAAAGTGGCTAAGTTTGCTGATTAACTGTTTGTTTCTTAGCTGTGTGCACTTATTAGCTCCCAACAAACAATACTTACCGCTGCCCTCTAAAGGTGTTATTTTAACCTATTGCAAGTTAGAACTTGATATAATAGTAATAATAGTCTCAATAAATGCGCTTTCTGCTTGCTTTATTAACATGTATTTGCCTTAAATCAACAGATGAGATGTAATTCTGTTCACATTCTGTTTGTTGCAACAAAACCATGAATGTAAAAGTTAGCAGCTGTGGAAGATAATTGCAATCATCTTAAATAATTGCGATCGGGAGATTATGTAATAATTGTGACAAGCCTATCGTAGCCCTAATCATATGCACCTGCTTCTCACACTCAAATGCCCCTGATAGCTTAACTAACTGAATCAGGGGTGTGCATATTTAAAAACTGGTGTTTTTCTCACAAAACAAGTTGAACTATGACAGTGTTCCTAAATTTCTTCTTTGCAAAACCTAACAAATGACACTGTATGTTGCACTGGTTGTTGGCAATATACATTTCTAAAACTTGAAAATCACTGCTTTTTTTCATTGCTTTCTTTTGGCCTATATCGTTCATTAACACTGTTCTTCAATGCATGTATTGATGTGGTGCACTAAAACCGGATAAGTCTTTGTGCTGTTTTGGGAATTTGCTAACCTGTTTCTTCGTCTCTGTGCTTCTGCGACCTCGACTGTGTGACCTTCTTTTCCACCGATTGGCTGTTTTGCTCCGGTCAGGGTGGAAGAGGCCAATCCGCTTGGAGCACCCTACGTTATACCTGGTTAAGAGGAACGAAAGCTTTCACACACAGAACACATAGATTTCTTTCCTTATCTCCCACCATTGTTTAATGATCTGAAAACAGGCTTTAACACTTAATTGCTTTACCTTTTTGCACACACCATGGAGCAGAAGCGCTTGGAGCCTTTAAACTTATAGGCAAAGTCGACCCAGCCACAAAACTCACACGTCAGCTTGGGCTCATCTGGCTCCTCCTCATCCCTGCCCCCTGCATCTGAGGAGAACAGGTCAAACTGTGTATAAATCAAATTGCACTGACCAGCAAAATCAGGTTTAAACATAAGCTCCTTAACTGTTACCAAATGAAAAAACAGAAGTTGGCTCCTAGGATCATTAACCTTTGCCCTTGTGGGCCCACAATTCAATTCCTCAGTGCCATACCTACACTCACTAGATAATACAGATTTATCTAGTAAGTACCACAGATTTATTCAGAGTAATAACTGTATAATAAGCCTGCAAGGGATGAGCTGATGTTTAATCTAATATCCTAAAATCTCTAGTATATAAAGTATCAAGTATTAATGACTGTGTGTAAACTCTACACAGAATAAATTTATCACATCTAAGACACAATCCACTCTTCCTACATCAAGATGCACTTCCCACCTTGTTGTGCAGTTTCCTCGGGCTCAGAGTCGGTGGTGTTGGGGGCGTTGCTAAGTGGGGTTTTCTCTGGGTCAGAGGGCAGCTGCTGCTCTGCTTTCTTATGGCTGTCAGTCTGAACTGGAGGCCGTTCCACCTGCAAGAACAGCATATTCACTTACCCATCAATGCCCTGTGCTCTATCTCATTCAAAAAGCAGTCTGAACTGAAACACTCTGTTGTGAATGTAAACTGTTATACATATATACAGATATATGTAAATATATCTGTTTTTGTGACATCACAAAAAATATTCTTTAAAGACTGGGCAGTGAATTGTAGGTTTTAAAACTTTTAATGTTTACATACAACACCAAACGCTTTCATTTTGAAAAAAAGTGAGGAAAATTTGATTTTCCATGGTATGGGCCCTTTAAGGTATTTCAAAATTATATAACTGAGACTACTTGAAAAATGTTGTCTTCATAATATTTTGCATTTTTTTATTTTTGCATATTTGTGATGTGGCTGGATCGGAAGACATTGTTTTGAAAACTTTTCCACATTTATCCAAGGTGCTTCCTCATTTAAAATAAATTCAATTTGACTATTTTGTCTAGTAGTAGCGAGTCATGAATTTATTTCACCTGAGGAAGTCCCATGGTTGAGTGAAACATCCTTAAGACTAAACCAAAGTTCTGTCTCCAGACTTCCTGCTCCTAGACAAGTATGCAAAAGCTGTATCTTAGGGTTCCAAAGAGTAATGTTTGTGGAGGACTTTTTCTTTGACTCTTTAACATGCAGTTGTGTCAGTAACCATATTAGGAGCCCAATAAAAACTTCAAAATATAATGATTTTTTACTAGGTGGACACGAGAGGGCGCCAGACTGTTTGGGTTTTAGGTTCCCAAACAGGGGAGTGTGTGTGTCTGTATGTGTATATACACCGATCAGGCATAACATTATGACCACCTCCTTGTTTCTATGCTCATTGTCCAGTTTATCAGCTGCACTTACTATACAGGTGCACTTTGTAGTTCTACAATTACAGACTGTAGTCCATCTGTTTCTCTGCATACTTTGCATAGCCCCCTTTTACCCTGTTCTTCAGTGGTCAGGATCCCCGTGGACCCTCACAGAGCAGATACTGTTTGGGTAGTGAATCATTCTCAGCACTGCAGTAACACTGACGTGGTGGTGTGTTAGTGAGTGTTGTGTTGGTACAAGTGGATCAGACACAGCAGTGCTGCTGGAGTTTTTAAACACTGTGTCCACTCACTGTCCACTCTATTAGACACTCCTACCTTGTCAGTCCACCTTGTAGATGTAAAGTCAAAGACAATAGCTCATCTGCTGCTGCACAGTTTGTGTTGGTCATCCTCTAGTCCTTCATCAGTGGTCACAGGACGCTGCCCACAGGACGCTGTTGGTTGGATATTTTTGGTTGGTGGACTATTCTCAGTCCAGCAGTGACACTGAGGTGTTTAAAAACTCCAGCAGCACTGCTGTGTCTGATCCACTCAGACCAGCGCAACACACACTAACACACCACCACCACATCAGTGTTACTGCAGTGCTGAGAATGATCCACTACCCAAATAGTACCTGCTCTGTGAGGGTCCACGGGGATCCTGACCACTTAAGAACAGGGTAAAAGAGGGCTAACAAAGTATGCAGAGAAACAGATGGACTACAGTCTGTAATTGTAGAACTACAAAGTGTACCTATATAGTAAGTGGAGCTGATAAACTGGACAATGAGCGTAGAAACAAGGAGGTGGTCATAATGTTATGCCTGATCGGTATATACCGTGGCGTGTGTCTGTGTCCGAGATATAAACCGGCTCGTCTTGTGTCTGTCCTCTGACGAAAGCAGGCCGTACTCACGGGGAACGGTTCCGCTCCCTCCTGGATGACGAAACCCTCGATGACATGCGTGAGCACGTGCGGCTTCACCACGGCCTGTGGCGGTCTGCTGTCGGCGCTGGCCGGCCGCGCGCTCTCCGCCCCTGACGTCATGGGCGCGCTCGCGGTCCCCGTCTCCGCCGAGCCTGCGCAAGAGAAGCACAGCGGTCTGGTCCCCATAACAACCACACACGCTACACTCCCGGGGACGCGTATGAGGCTGGTGGGAAGGCGCGTGAGGCAGAGAGGCTACCCTGGCCTGTCATTGGTTAACGTGGATTTGTAGATTCCAGGTCTGAGTATTTTTAAATGACAATACTTTGCTTATAGCTTATGACTTTCACTTGAGGTTTTTGGGAACTCTGCCTTAGATAATGATCAAATAAACGATCTCTGGTCCACAGTAGCCCACCTCTTTAACAGATACAAACCAATGGAAAAGTATTCCAGCTCTCTTCCTCTCTATCTCTCCCCCCTCTCTCTCTCTCTCTGACATCTGACATGAAACAAATCACTTGGTAACAACATGCAAGAAAAGGCAAAGCTCACCGAGGAAGACTAAAACCTGCTTCTCTTTAGCAGCATTTTCAAATTCCGCCTCAAATTCTGTCGGTAGTCTCATTCCATTCTGTGTTCAGCGCACCGCTGGAGATGTGTATTCCCAGCACGCTCTCGCGAGGAGCTACTCTGTCACTACTTCTGCCTCCTCTTTCATGGGAAAACACTCCCTCCTGCTCGCCGCCCCCTTCCACACCCACCTCCTCTTCCCCAAAGGAGCACACATATTACAACAAATCCACTTCATCATGTGGGAGGAAGAAACAAAGTTTTTTTTTTCCTCCAGCTGTGGTTGCGACATTCTCTGAATCACCAGCTCACTCTCTGAAAGAACAAACACATGTTTTGCTTTGGCAGAGCCTCCACTGCTTATCCTAAATTCGGAACTGAATGTCTTGTCACCTTCCTGGCTATGAAATTATGCAGTTACAGCAGTCAGTTTATGGTATAATCCAGATTATAGAGTGAATTAAAGGGCACATTTTCCCCTGAGGTCTACATATGACTTTGATGTGGTTTTAGATACTAAAAACAGCTGTAATTCATTTTTACGTGACCAATTTCCAACCTCACTATATGCCTTCAACGAAACAGGCTGTTTTCTGTTACTGTGCCTATAATATTTGCAAATGACCTCTGTTTTGATTGGCTGCCTTGTATTGGTCATACAAAAACTTGCCCAGATTGAAAAAGTTATTATACTTTCAGCATGAATGGTGGCTAAACTGCTGTCAGCTGAATAGTTGGACATATGATACTACATCAAACTCTTTCATTAAAAAATAAATTAAGGAAAATTAGTTTTTCCATGATATGGACCTTTAACCAAACTACCTATGAGGTTCCTTAAGTCAGCATTGAATATTCTGTCATTAGCTGTTATATTGTTTTGAATGGCTGTTTTATTTTTAGATCTGGAAGTGGTCAGCTTGTTTGGAGAAGTGTGTGGGTAGGCGAATCTGTCCAAGAGTCTGAATCCAGGAAAGCACACCCTATTCTCTATAAAGAGCTTTTGTATTGCCACTTGTTCCACTTTAAGAAGAAAAGCAACAAGAGTGACAAAAGAGAAAAGTCACTGACATAGTGTCTCATTACAGTAAAGCCTGATATCAGATGAAATAGGGTTCACTTCACACCACATAGACTGTAGAAGTCTTGGACATTGTACCATCTGTTTGGCTTGTGGTTGTCCCTGTGTCAGCTTTGGGAGGCTCTGGAGGATTGGTCTCTTGGGATGGGGTGGATGTGGGGACCTGCGTGACCAGTGGTGGACAAATCTCTCTCATTACCAGGGATGTGGGTTTATCCTTACTATCCTGAGCAAGTCTGGAAGCCTGTGAAAAAGATGAGGAAAGATGTTGGGGTGTAGAATAGGTGAAGACTCATTACTTATTTTCAGTTGTTTCAAGTTTACTCAACACATTCTTGGTGACATTGGATGCGTTAATGGACGGCTTGCTAAAGAAGTATTTTTAAACTTGAGCCGTGTGATGGTAAAGAACGTTTTTTAATTTTCTGCACAATGTAAAAATACTACACTGATTCATTTCTCCTATAACTGTATATCCAGGCCAAGAGCCTTTTAGGAATCTTTAATTTTTGAGGAGTATAGTCACCTGACTGCTGGTTGCTTGGTCAGTGCTGGCGGTACCATGGCGTACCTGGTTGTGAGCAGGCTGAATCTGCAGGTTGATGGCTGTTAGCTGGACAGGCTGAGCTTTGGGTTGGCCCAGGCCGGAGTGGGCTCCATGCTGGCTCACTGTTGAGTGGAAGATAGTGGCCTGTTGGCTAGGAGCCGTTCCTTGGTTGTGATTGGGAGGTTTGGGCAGGACGGGGATGGGTCCAGAGGAGGTCTGTGTAGAGCTCTGGATGCCCAGTGAGGCAGTCTGTGCGTGTGGCTGGACGGAGGCTGTCTGCAGTAATGTCTGCATCCGAGGAGTAGGCGGAGCTTGGGACTGAATGACGAACTGTTGAGGTTGCTGCTTGATCAAAGCTTGAGGTTGAATCTGGGTGTACGCTGGCAAGAAAACAGATGTACACAAATGTGAATGTCTTACTCAATAGTATCCGATTGCCGCAATACATTCGTTGATATTTTTTCCTTACAAACGGTACTAAAGGGGAATTCCACAGATATTTCAAAATTCAGGCATAAATCAGTCATGAAGAAAGACACTCTGTGTGATTTGATGTTAAATCAGTGTTGAGAAACTTACTGATTCTGACTTCTTTACAGTGGTGATAGAAACCAGGGGTCACAATGTTTACTACAAATATAAGCATTTTGTTTACTATCAAAACCACTAGTGAACCCACATGTGCCTATTGAGTGTTTATACATAATGTTGATAACAGCAAAATAGCAATACTTCTGAAAAGTCTTCTTTGCAGACAGATCTTCCCTCACAACACATGCATATACCTTTCCACCAAGAACATATTTGAAAAGATACATTTTAGGACAAAACTATATCCCAAAACTGTGGTTAACAATGTCACAGACATCAGGCAGCATATCGCTGCTGTTGAAACAAAACCTCATATCTCCATTTTTGTCATTTTTCAGTTTTTGACATAATTTGAAAATGCCACTTGTCCTTTACCTTGTGTGTAAATTTTATAATGAATGGACTAAAAGAAACAGCCTAAAATTACTTGGAAAAAAGTCTGGTTCCTTTGACTTACATTACAAGTAAAGCATGCTTTTTGTTCTCCTGTAAAGTTATCATTTTTGAGATATGAGGTTTTGCTCCGACAGCAGCAATATTCAAAATCATTTCAAGTAACAGTTTTCTGTGAGGGAGCTTTTAAAGGCGTTGAACAGTTCAGACGCCTGGTTTCTATCACCACCACTGTGAACAATTCGGACTCTGTAAGTTTCTCTACAATGAAGCATTTCATACCAAACCACTTTGAATGACTTTGCTTACATTTTAACAATGTTATTTACAGATTTTTTGATAATATGGTGGAATTCCCCTATAAGTGAGACGACACAACTAAACCTACAGCTTTGGCACAGTGTGTAAGAAACTGATATGACCAGTTTGGTTTCACAGAGAAAAACTCAAACAAGGCTTTTGCTGGATTATAAGGTGCACAGGAGCAACAACTGCAAATGAGAGGTGAAAAATGAACAGACTGAGAAACAACCTGAGTGAAGAATGTGTTGTAAGTTAAGCCCATAGCTATGTAAAATTAAAGGCATTGACAGTATGTCAGTGGACCATGCAGTATTTTATGTATATTTCCCAATGCTAGTACTCCAGGAGTGTCCACTGTTACAACACAAAGCTCATTTGGAAATGGAAATAGGAACTGTTTTGGCACTGTTAATAGGTGTGAGACTGCTCAACTTGCTGGAAATTGTGTTCAACTATGAGGTTGACTCAGCACAACTCCAGGCCCCCAGCACACACAATGTCCTGAATAGATCACTTTCGAACACTGCAGTGCTGAGAGAGAACAGGGATGGAGTGGGAGGGCTCCTCCTAAGTCCACTCAATGCCGGAAATTAGTAACAGAGCTGTGGGTCACACTGAGACTCCTAATGACAAGCAGCAAAGATGTGAGAAAGAATGTACTTTTCTCTCTCCTCTCAATGGCGTGGGATAGTGGATTCAGATGACTCAGTCCTCCAGCCGCTGCTCTCTCTCTCTCGTTCTCTCACTCTCTCTCACTCTCTCTCAGAGAAAAGGAGCTGATGAGTTAATCCCTCTGGACTGCGGAACCCAGCCTTGGAAAACCCCAGACTTTCCGGCCTGGCCTTTCAGCAAAGCCACAGCATGCAAACATTATTTTAATATATTGGCTACTTTATGTCAATGTCCATTGTTATTCTTTGATATTCTCATTCTCCTCATAGAAAAAGAGATTCAATGTAATAGATACACAATGAAAAGTGCAAAGGAGGACCCACACACAAACAGCACTCAAACCCCTCTGTGACTCCTCTTAGTGTTTTGTCTTTCCGTTGTTGTTATACTATCATCTCTAGACAAAAGAAAAATGTGTTTAGTTACTGTTTTTCAGCCACAGACCACATTCCTGAGGTTTTAGTCCAAACAAGAAAAAGTGTGTGTGTGTGTGTGTGTGTGTGTGTGAGAGAGAGAGAGAGAGAGAGAGAGAGAGAGAGAGAGAGTACTAAAAAAACAAAAGGTGCCAAAAAAGGTTCTTCGGGGGATGCCATAAAATAACCATTTTTTCAATGTACAGTACTGTGCAGAAGTCAGAGACCACCCTTTATTTACTTCATTTTAGTTAAAATGTCTATTGAGTACAATTTATTTATTTTTTTTGTCAGGAAAACATACATTTAACAGACAATGACATAGAAGCCTTAATATGATTTTTCAGTATTATGTTTGTCTTACAAACAGATCTGCAGGGATATTTTTTTCACACCTCCAAAGTTCAGACTTACAAGTAGCTATGTTGTCGCCTCACAGTGGAAGAAGCTCCAACTCCAGTTTTAGAAACTCTTGCTTTTTCACTTTTTTCTTTGACTTTCTTTTTTCTTATATGTGTGGATTATATGAGATTACAATACTATACAATACTCCTGGATTATATTTAATCTCCTCAGTAATATCTCCTGACAATATCTCCTAAAAATATCTCCTGAATAACTTGGAAATTAAATAAATGAAGGGAGGTCACCTGATTTTGCACAGTATTGTAATGGACCACAAACTGAGATGTGAAGGGCTTTCTTAAACTTTAAAGAATCATCACATAATCCAAAGGTTCCACACTAGTTAAAGGTTTTTTGAACCACACATTCAAGCAAAGAACCAATTTGGAATCTTGATTTTTTAAGACTGTGTGCATTAGTTTACAAAGTGAAATATGGCCTTCTTGTTACAGTAAGAATGGTGTGCACCTCACTACGTCCCAGATACTTGATTTATGTTATGTTATAAATGGTAACTATAGTGTCTAAACACATGTATTTGTTTCCCTTCTAGTTCTGGAGAGATTAGACTCGACAAGCTTGATGATAGAACCACAGCAGCTTGCATGTGATTCAAATTTAAACTGATAATACTGTTATTAACCTTAAGGCTTATTATTCAGTAATGACTATGAATATGTGGTGATTGGAAAAATTGCAAGCTCTGGTAAATACTGCAAGAATTAGTTGAATTTGCGTAAATTCTCATGATCATAAGATCATAAGCAGCAGAGTACAATGAATATGCCATCAAATTTTAATTTGACATATCATTCAAATCTAATCATCTGTCCAATGTCAATAATTTTTTAAAGCAAGTATCTACAAATTCCAATACTACACTGTATCCCTATTTACAAGGATTCAAATCTCAACAGTTAAATGAACAATCACTGCATTTGATTACACTGTAAAACATGTAAGGCTCTTTAGTAGTCTATGCAGTCAAGTAACTTGCTAAGAAGTTAATGAGAGATTAAGTTCTAGCTCAGTGAACACCCGCCTTATTCCCAAAATACAGAAAAACAACTTCTCTCTGGAGCTTTACTACCATGGCAACTACACCTGCCCTAAAGCTCAGTACACTTCTGCTGATGCTTCCACTCTTCCGAGACTGCATTCATTTTACTATAAAAGACACAGCCACTATAACACTGTGTCAAACACAGTCACACATGCACTGGCAAAACACACCTGACCAGTCCCGTCACCGTTCTGTGAGCAAACACTCACCAGCTTAACTTACACAGCTGTTGAATGAAGGGCATGTGTGCGTGTGTGTGAGTTCCTAAAACCAGAGATAAGAGATGCGTGAAGTGTTTTCATGTAAGAAGAAAGACTCACTCTTCCCTGAACTTCACTAATGGTTGCCGCAAGCCTCAACACACCGCCAATAACAAATCCGGTCTTAAAAAAAAGCAGTCTAAGTCTTTGATGAGTTTAAACATGGGCTTGTGTTTCAGGAGGTGCTGGCCTGTTGGCTGAAGTGATGAGGGGTCTGTTTATCAGGGCCACAGACAGAGGTGATGGGCAAATAAGAGGAAGCATGTGTCATGCAGTGTGGAGGATTACGGGGCTGTTACTGGATGCCTGCAGGCTCTGCACCACGACTGAACAAATGTAGACATCACAACAACAGAGATGTAAAACCATCAGCCAATTAACATTTATTTGTAGAGCTCATGTTGATCTATTCTGTTTTATACAGTCTCAGCTGGGCACAATTGCAAACCTCAGTGTACTCCTTTAGCCTACCAGTGCTAAGTCAAAGACCTGTGGTTTGTGGTATGGTGCTCTCGCCTACTAACTTTACAGTTAGCTGAATGTGTACAGTTTGTAGGTTGTTAAGCTCTCATTATTAAAGCTGGGAATACTTCAGTATTTATATGGCCGACCAGATCACTTCAATACCAAATTTCAATATTTAAGTATCCATGAGTCAATTAACATGTTGTTCTAAAATCCAGAACAAGCTGATTGGAAATTACACTCTGTAAATATGTTATTAAAATTGGCAGTTCTTCATCAATGTGGAACCGGCTACAGTCAGTAAATATACCCACTTCCCAGCCCTTCATATTTGTTTCTGGTTTAAGGCTCACTCACTTTCAGTTTGTAATTTAAAAGAAGGTATCGCAACAAGTTTCATTCAAGAATCTGTACTAAGATCCAGGTGTCTGTATTGGAATCCGTATCAAAACATTTCAAATGGCTCCCAGGTGCACTGGTTGTCTTTGGGGCACAAGCAATATATCATCTGGCTGATATTAAGGCTTTATGGACATTGATAAAGCACAGATTTATATAAGAAACAAGTTTTGTATTATATTTAACAGATACCAGCCTTTATAGAGACTGCTAAGCTAATAGTCATCCACTTGCTGACAAAACAGTACCATAGTAAAAAACACATGTAAAATGTACCCAAACATAACCTACTACATAACACTAACACTAGCATGGAGAATGTTAAGCTTTACTTTTTTTTAGTTTTTCAGTCAACTTGAATCAGAAATCATTACACATCTTCCTTTTCTTATTGTGACATATTTCAGAGTGAAAAGCGATATCAGGGAGGGACTCTGAACAAGAGTGTCTCTCAGTGATAGGTGGGGTTGGTGGGTGGTGTGGGTGAAACTTGGTATTCTTGTGTAATATTATTTTTCACCACTTGCTATGCATGTTTAATCAAAAAGACGTGTTAGAAGTGGGTAAAAGTCACAACACATCGGCCAGATATTATGAAAAAAACAAGAAATTTCCCTTTTAAATGGTGTAGAATGATGAATCATGCTTAATATGACCAGGAATGTCAAACAACGCAGTTAAAAATGGCAAGTCTGATTTCAGGCTGACATTAAGATATTTGACATTTGATAATGATTATCTCATTTGACCATTCACAGCAGACGACGGGCAATCATAGCAGTTGGTAAAGCACTGTTTAACTAAAGCTATTTGAATCTGCTCATTTTTTACACCCTAAAGAAATTATATTGGGTGATTTGATTATTTACTATTTATTATTGGAAAATTTAGCAACTTAAAATCAGTTTCATTACTGGTGGTAAAATCATATCGGTTTGGCCCTAATAATAATAACATCCATGTTTTAGTACTTTTGCCATTCATACAGCTCTTACCCGGTGCGATAAGGGGATGAGAGGATGTGACACTGCGGCTCATATTCACTGCCTTGGCCTCTGTCTCTCCTCCACTCTCTTGCTTCTTCCCTGCATCTCCAGAAGCTCCAGGGAGCACACCTTTCCCTGTGGTGGTCCCCGAGCTGGTGGCTCCCTGGCTGGTGGTTTTGATGAGTGGGGTGGGCTGGATGGAGACTGGATTCTGCTTCAAGCTCAGGGCCTGCAGGCCTGTGGACTGAGAGGAGGAAGATGTCCCCTGGTGGCTGCGCAGGGCAAGATTCTGCACCTGGAAAAAAATATGTAAAGAATTTGTTTACATTGCTCATAATATCTTTTATACATTTCTGACAATAAGAATACAATGATAATAGAAGGACATGTGTGCAGTATGGTAGCACAATGTTCAACATGTTAATTTGTGAATTATACTGTTTTGTTTTTTCTGCCTGCATTTGTGAATCTGTACCTGTGCAGATGCGGACGAAGTATTACTGTTTGTACCGGTGTCTGACTGGAGAGCAGTAACAGTAGCTGTAGGAGCGAGAATGAGCTGGGGGGAGAGAGGAACAGCGCGGCCTAGACTCCGAGCTACATGAACCAGGTTACTTTGCTGAGCCTGCAAATACAGACACACATACAGAACTAATTAATCTGTAAGCTTTATTTTACCCATCACTGTCTTTCTTTCTAATTCATCTGCACTGATTCATTTAGAAGCAGATCATTTATTTTCTCCTTAGTATTTGTCCAAGGAATATACAGTACAGAAAAGCTGTTTACAGTCATAAGCAAAACTTTGGGAACCGCTGGTCAAATTATGTTTTGTTGATTTTAAAAGTAAAAATAAATTAACACATCTTCCATAAAGAACACACTTCTGTATTTTAATGCATAAGTGCTGGCAATAGAACATACTTTAACAATTCAATGTGATGATGGACCTTCAGGGAGAAATCTGAAACTAAGCTTGTGTTCTCATAAGTAGCTTAAATGCTTTTAGTTAGCAGCAGTTGAAAGCAAAAATTCTTGATACTTTATACTATCACTGTTTAAGTTTATTTAATGTTAAATGGTGGTTTGTATCCAGCAAAAACATGTATTGCCATGATAAATGGTTTTATATAATTTGCTTAGGTGCCTAAAACTTGCGCACTATAGATACAGTTTTCCTACAGCAAGATTTTAGGAAGAGCTGCTGAGCTGCTCTTAAAGTTTTATCCGTACAGTTTTGGAATAGAGGCTTTTATCCTGACAGGTTACTGAAAGATCTTATCAGTCCTGAATCATGGCATGATAAACTGACACAGTATGTCTCAACTCTAGCCTGAGACAGTATCAGCACCCGGACCGTGTTTGTTTTCATGTGTATGGGTGTGAAAGCTCACCATCTGGGCACGCAGGTACATCTGTGCCTGGCTGGCGGTGAGGGTGGGGCTTGAGGCGTTGCCTAGCAGCACCGCCTGCTGTGAGATCCCAGAAGGGGTGGAGTTTACACTCTGGGCGCGGCTTATTAACTGAGCGGTGGCAGGAGACGTGGTTAGATTAATCTGAGAGAGAGAGAGAGAGAGAGAGAGAGAGAGAGAGAGAGAATGTCTCACACATGGCCCTTGCTCACTTTAAACAGCATACGCTCAGTCAGTTTGTTACCATTACTACTGAAAGGTCGGGCATTTTCAAATGCAAATATCCTAATTTTTAAATGTTTTGAATAGTATTTAAATATTCCAGCGAGGAAATATTTTATACTGTTATGAATCAAATATATATAGCTTTGCTTAGAAGTTGTCCTTATGCTTGACAAAAAATGCAGTATTAGCTTCTTATTTGCCAAGATTCTCTGTGAGTATGCTCAGCTAAAAACTTCACATGATAATCCATGATTCATTTCACACTTTATTCTAAACTGTTTTTGCCTTATTGGAATATTCAACTCTGTATCCCTATTCTTTAGCTGAACTAGTCAAGCTGGGCTCTGTGTGCACTCACTGTAGTCTGTGATGATCCACTCTGGGTGGACGAAGTCCCATTCTGAGTAGAGTTCTGTCTACCAGCAGCTATACTGGCCTGAGAGAGAGGGAGAGATAGAGAAGGTAAATATAGAGTGCTGGTCTTTAGTGAACGGCCTTTCTAAGGCCACTACTGTACCATTGTCACTGACTAAGTAACTGGCAGCAAGGCTACTAGTGACCAAGCAAGCTACCTTTTTATTAGCATTTAAAGTTGGCCCACCTGCTGCACGGCTGCCAGACTCTGTAGCTGTGCTGTGCTGAGGTGCTGCTGCTGCAGAGCTGCTGTCTGCAGCATTAGGTGCTGCTGCTGTGCCGCATACATCTGCTGCAGATACTGCGCTGCTGTGCTGGGCTGCCTGTGCAAGGCCTGCTGAATCACCTAAAGGACAGAGAAAGAAAGAAAGAGAGAGAGAGAGAGAGAGAGTGAGAGCTTGTGTTAATTACATGAAGAGAATGGATATGCTTTTGTACCTGCACTGACTGTTCCAGCCTTCTGCAATTTAACCTTGAAACTGAGCATTTTCCACTTTAAAATTCCTACAGAGTTGTTGTGAGTTCCTGGATGAGGATTTTCTTTGTGTTTGTCACCCTCTTTTGGCCATAAAATGAACAACTGAAGTACTCACTGAAGTTAGACCACAATCCTCAGATTTTGTTTTTACTTTCTGTATTCTTAAAACTTCTGATATCAACCATTATTAAAGGGGAATTCCACCGAATTACTTTTTTTTTGCATAATTCAATTCTTAAGCTGTACACATGGCAGAGAGGTACATGTAGAGTGTTGTAAGGTTAAATAGTTTTTCAGATTTGTGTCTTTTATTATCAATCAAACACATACAAACCTCTAAAGAACTAATATATAGGTTCACAGGTCATTTTGAATAGTAAATAAAATGGCTATATGCTTTGTAGACATTGTGCCCCCTGTTCCTATTACCATCAGTCAGTAAGTTTCTCTACAATAAACCATTTCAGTTCAAACCACTCCGAATGACTTAGTTTACGTCTCAATCATTGAATTATGCAGAAATTTTGGAAAATCAATCAAATTTCTCTTCAATGAACATGTCACCATACATGAACAAAAACTCTATTTGATATTTTCATCAAAGCTGCATTAAGATGTATACCTATACAGTAACTGCAACCAATAATCAGATTATGATGCATTCTAATGAAACAGACATGATTAAATATATTCTTAACAAAAGTCCAGTAGTTATAATCATAATATAATAATGAAAATAAGAAGCTATTTAAAAATCTCAAAATGTTCATTATAGCAAGTATTCAAAAACACATACCTTTAGTGAGCTGAGTCGAGTTCTTGTTCCCTGAAACTAATGGGGAACAAAAAGCTTGGGCTAAAAAAAGCAAAAACTAAGCCACTAAAATAACTGAGATTCACTTGGCAGTTACAGCAGTGCATCAGCCTACAATGTCATCCTTTCTCATGCTGTCCTGACACCAGTGAATGACACAGTGTGAGTCCTGAAGGTCTTTTCTCTGTTCGCTACTGGCTGCTGGCTGTTCCTCACACCTCCTAGCTCCTCCCCCTACCTCAGCTTTCACACGGGACTGGCCGCTACTGTACAGTTGCTAGGTAACAGCGAGAGGAGGCTCTGACCCCTGCTCTGGTGTGAGTACAGCAGAGCGTGACCTGAACACACCACACGTTCAAACTAAGCAGATAATACACAGACCACATGCAGCCGAGCATGTTATGTACTGCGTCTCAGAGCAGGAGTGCTGATCCATGTTTGGATTTTGTAGAAAACTCATTGTAATATCTAGCTGCTCTGTGCTTGCTAATGTGTAGGGATGTATTTGGATGGGTAGTAGTGTCCAAGGGTCTGAGTCTACTGACAAAAACTGTTTTTTTATTTATGAGAAGCAGCGTAGTTTATTTATTTAGCTAAATTGCGTTCCTCAAACATCATTCTTCACTGACATGCTCTGAAGGTAAATCTGTCACAGTAACTGGCACATCCACTATTTGACTTACTCATAGTTAAAACTTGATTTAAGTTCTGCAGAATAGTACAGTATGTGTTGTTCCAGCTGTTTTAAAGAATCAGATAGTACATGGAGCCGGCATGATGTTTACTCTTTTTGGCTTGACTGAAAAAAAGTGATGCACTGAATTTACTATATTCAAATGTGCGCATAATTTACGCATGTAAAACAAATATTAAGTGGTTGGGGGGTGGGGGTCAGGGGGGCAACGTCAGGAGTCTATAGCCAACAAACAGCAATTCAAAATAAAGCTGTGTAAACACAGTACAACTACAGCTTATCATATTGATATCACATGCTTTACATGTCAACATGAAAACACAAAAATAAACAGCATTATTAATAAAAATAATAATATAATACATCAATCAGAATGGCAGTTCCATTGTGTTACTAAAATTCTTAGTTTGTATGTTGATAATAAATATAGTTAATAAATATAAAATATAAAATAGCAAAATAGCCCAATAATGATAAATATAATGATAATCAAGAAGAAAATGAATAACTGTTATGGGCAGTTATTGCAAACTATAACTTAATGAAACAAAAGCCTACTTTGGGTTTATTTAGAGTTTATACTATAATTGACAACTTTTTAATAATTGATATTTGACGGTTTTTGCAACAGCTAATTTTTTCAACAGCCAACACGCAACCCCTAAAATTATCACCAATGACATCAACAGTTTTGCCTTTGATTTTACTTACTTTGATTTCATGTGGAAAATCATTTAAATCAAGTCAATTCAATGCATTACTTTTTAAATGCTCCCAAACATGGGATTAATTCCTGCTGACAGTTTTCTCAAAAAAATAGTTCAATAGTCTCAAATAGTTCAGAACTGATCTGTCTCAGTGAACGTATCAGTGAATAATAAGTTACAACTGAGTAAAAATTGTGGGTTCATTTTGGGTTTGTGATTAAATAAATCCAGTTTATAGTGGACTCATCATTCACAGTCATTAGGAGCCTACTGTAACTGATTACGTGTCTGTATGTCTAATGCATTGTAGGGTAAATTTGTGTAGATGACTAGATTCTCTGTTCTTGCCATTGCTGTCATTTTAATTATAAAATAATAAATGATAATCTTTATAGCCAGCCCACTGAATTCAAGACTGTCACCAAGGTCAGCTAGCAGATTAACCAGGGGAAGATTTGCCTCTGAGGTCAGAGGTCAAGGTTGATGCAGACTAAAACAAAGAGGGGGCGGAGAATGTAAACCACAGTAACCTGACACAGTCATCAGCAAATGCCTGCAAAGATCTTGATGCGACAAGGATAAAGCATCCCAGCTGAGCAGCTTCAAACAGTACGAACATATTTCTTGATATTTTGTGCACTTCATGCAGTTTCAGGGTTGTCCAGCAGGAGGCAGCACAGGTAAATTATTGAGAGATGCTCACTGGCAGCCTTTCTATGAATGTAACACAAATTTAACACTCTAAAATAGGTGTGAGTGAGAAGTTGTGAGGGTGAGGTTACAAATGTGATTAAGTGTGAGTGTGTACCGCTGTGTTTGTGTTGCCTTTTTCCAGCATGACAACACGGGAGTTCATATCAGTTGTGTGTTCAAAAAATGCATTGAAATTACTTGATTTACATATGTACATCATTTGTACATTAATAACATATATTAAATCAACACCAGTGTGTCTTTCAGTTTAAGTAGTTTTGTGTTATTATCATTATATGATATGTATATGATGTATACGTATATGAATGTATATGATTCATGCCAAAATGGTGTACCTACTTGAATCAAGTATTTAGTGCATTTGTGCATTTAAGATTTGCATTAAACCTTATAAACCTATGCACTCCATGTACAGTTGTATGCAAGCGTTTGGGTGCTCCTGGTCAAATTACATGTTTTCTTGATTCTCTAAGTGAAAGTAAGTTAACACATCTTCTACAGAGAACACACTTCTGCACATTTTAATGCACAGTTACTCTTTATTTGTTGAATTTAACATAGTAGGGAAAAATAAAACATAAAATGTGTCCTGTGCAAAAAGTTATGGCACACTTTATATTTTACGTTTCATGTTTTTAACAATTTGTGAAACTAGTGAAGTATAAAGTAGTTTTAAGTATTCAAAATGTGCGTACGACTGTAACAGCATTTACTTGTCTGTTCCCAACAAAGTAGACTGAAAAACACTGAAAGGTTATTCACGGTTCATTACTGTTTAATTAAGTCTATTTTTTGGTTTGGTCATTTAAAAAAATCTTATTACTTGAAAATGTGTACATTATTAATAATATCACTTTTAGTGACAGCCCACTAACTGCTTGTATGCTTCCTCAGGGTGGAAGCTGAGTTGTGAAAAGAGGAGATTTTGACAGGTTTCAAGGGGCATAATCAGCAGCTCATAAAAATGAATCAAGATGACAAATCGGATAAAGCATATTCAGTGTGTGAGCTCGTATCCTCTCTCAACCAAATCTGATATCCCTCAACACATCTGAACTGTAGGGTTTAGTGGCTGAACTGTAACTGGAGCTGAGTGCTGCTGTGCTTTGATTGGCCTTCATGATACAATATTCTTCTGAATATTCTACATTTAACCCCTTGACAATCCAGGTCTATTTCATACAAAGGCTTATTGTTCAGTAACTACAGGGACTTCCATGCAAACTAATGGAGCTATTCTTAGGTTATAGAAGTGTGTAATAAAACTTGGCTTGTTAACGGGTTAATAGGGCTTTCATCTACTTGTTTTACAAGCTAAAAGGCACATTTTTCACTCTCTGGGTATTAAATATGAAAGTTATTTTTTTAATGAACTCAAGTAAAAGTACTATAATTTAATTCAACTCAAGAAGTACTGTTACAGGGAAAATGTGCTCGAGTACTGTAAAGCCACAGTCACACGACTTGTGGTTTGCGTCGTTTTATCAAATGGGTGTGATTGGCGATGAAAAAATCCTCCATGTCGGTGCAGTTAACAAGCTAGCTAACTTGCTAACCATGAACAATAAAAACACAGTGAAATAATTATATCACGTAATTAGATGTAACAAAATGATATAGTTAACTAGCACAGTTCCTGCGGTGGTGGGACAGTTAGCCATGGGGCTAACATCACAGTTAGCAAAAGTATAGCTAATTATACAGCGTCATGAAGTCTCTCTTTCATGTGTTTATTTATAGCCAGTGAGAAAGAAATGTTTAAAGGTTTGTGCATATACACTTGTGAAATTAGCATTTCCTCCATTTTGGAGGTTCAGTGCTATGATACAGTGATAGTTATAACTGTAATTTTTTACTTTATAACTGTACTTTTCTACTTTTTTGTTTTTAGTGTATTTATACTTATTCAGTGTATTTAATATATTCTTATACTTTATATTTTTTTTCTAAGACTATATTGGTGAATGGAGGAACAGCAAAGTAAGAATTTCATTGTACAGTGTAACTGCCTGTTTCTGCTGTGCATATGACAAACTCTTGAATCTTGAATGAAGGGCCACCAGTTCAGAGGTCAACACGTTCAAAGCAGTAGCGCTATTAGCTGAGGATGCAAATTTGCATGTCAAAGTTGTCCAGAGTTGAACCTTACGTGAAATTCTGCACACAACCCTGGAAGTCTACAATGTGAAATCACTTGTTGTAGCAAATTCCATTGCAATGAAAGTAATTTCACTCATGAAAATTCACAGGCAAACACTAGTATGACTGGGCCTTAGCACAAGTAAATGGAATTTTAACTTTCCAACACTGCATGTGCAACTAAAAGTGTCAGAAATAAACATAGGTGGTCTCTAGCTCTGTGTTTGTGTGTGATCTCACCTGTACAGTCTGCCGGTCAGGTATTCCGCTGTACACTGAAATCTGTGGTACGGTCTGTCTGCTGCTGCTGGTGCTGCTGGCTGAGCTGGTACTGCTGCTGCTGCTGCTGGGGGTGTTTGGTGGGTTGGTGGCGCTGCTGGTGCTGGTGGTGGTGGGGGGAGTGTTGGTATTGGTGGAGGAGCTGGAGGTGCCTGTGTTGCTGGCACTGGAGGCAGGAGGACCCTGCTCGCCCTCCATGGTGCCGCCCCGACGCCTCACCTTTGACCCACGACTGCCCCGCTGGCACACTCTACGCAAGCTAATAAGAAAAGGAGATTTGGAGTCAGGATGAGTAAACACGTCTGAAATTAGCTTATATCTCAGTCAGTGTCTGCTATGTACTGTCAAATTAACAACAATAAAATAAATCACCCATTAGCACCATGCTGTGTAATTGGCTTTGCAAGGAAACTGAAATACCCGAGTGTGGAAATTTAGTTAGAGACCACAGAGACAGCTGAACACTGACTGAGGGCTCATATTACTAATCAACTTCTATTTAAATATGAACAAATAAAATAACAGTGTATTTCAGTTTCAGACTTTTTTTTAGTTGATCAGGTTTCACTGGTCTAAATATCTCTGAGGCAGTTGAGTTTAATTTTAAGTCAGTGGACCTTATTGGTCACAGTGCTGTGCATGTGAAAAGAGTCCATATGTTCCACATGTTTAGGTTAGCAAACTGATGTAGCATTAATTAATCAAAGTTCTTTGGACATTTCTGTAATACTGAAGGCCGAATGATCATTTCCAGAAGATTCCTTGCCATTATACAGCTGCTCACATATCAAACCAAACAGTTTAAACAAACATCTGCCACACCAAGGGGGTGGAGAAATTAGGGAACATTTTTCCAGCCTTCTGCAGTTTTGCATTCTTTTCCTAGTCATGACTATTCTACACTCTCAGAAATAAAGGCACAAAACTGTCACTGGGGCAGTACCCCTCTTTTCACCGGGGTGGTACCCTCAAGGATACATCTCAGTACCTTTAGTCAGGGAACATAACTGTACCATAATCCATTGCAATTATATTTTCTGAGCTGTACTGACTCCACTCACCCCGTCTTGTAGCCAGGCTTTTTAATTTATTGTTCTGTTGTAAAACATTCAGTTATGAAAAGATACAAATAAGTACTTTTTTCACTGGCAAAACGTATTTAAGGCACACAACTGGACCCTTAAAACCACTGTTGTACCTTTGAGGGAACATTTACATTGTTTGTACACTGATGAAAAAATGTACCTGCACAGAACCTTTATTTCTAAAAGTATAGAAACAGTCCCAACTAGCAAAGATGGTGTTCAGCCAAAAATACCTGTAAATATATTTTTTGTTTCTATAGGAAAAACTTGTATCTCCAAAACATCAACTACAGGAGAAGGAGAACATATTCTAAACATTTGTTCTACTGTTCTACTGATCTATTCATCATGAAAGGTTTATGTAATATAAAGAGCACCATTTTCAAATGATGTAAAAAGAAATAGGGCTGCACAATGACATCAGAACCTTAGCAGAATCTGCACACATTTGCTTAAAAATCGTCAGCTCTGGACAGATGTTTAGATTCGACTGATGTTTGGCTGAAATATTGGATATCAGTATCATTCTTATAACCAGGGGTGCACGTTTAGTTTGACAAATGGGGGTGATCAAGGTCAGGTGGCTAATGCTTGCAGCAATTCAAACTTAATAATGGAAAAATAAAGTATGCCAACAATTACACCTATCATATTGATATCCTATGCTTGATATATAAATATTAAAACACAAAAACAAATAATATTCTTGACAGAAATAATAACAATATCCTACATATTCATTATAGAGATGTGGTTTTGTGGCATTTTTTTTTCTATGTGCATGTTGCTATAAATGTTTTTACAAATGCAACAATGATAAATATGAGAAGAAGTACACAGAAAAAGGAAAGACTATTAATAACACAGCATAAGTCAATAAACAATCACAGTACAGTAGTGTTGAAAATGATTTCTGAGCAGGTCAGTGCATTTTTCTTTTTGTCATTACTGAACATATCTAAACAAAACAGGGTTCAGTTAGAGTTTTAAACAGTAATTAACAGCTCCAAAATAATTGATATTCAACAGCTTGTATTTTTTCTGACCATGCATAATTTGCAAAAGCGGAGGAGACCTGCCCCCCCCCAACACCACCCTCCCATTTTTTGCACCATTGCTTATAACAGTCACACAAAACAGCAATCATCTTGAGTAAAGACACAAAAAGGTACAAAACATGCCTTTTCCTCAGAGCAAATGACATCACTGCATTGTTTGCTTTTCAGTGTAACTCTTCCCAGACAAAAAAGCCCAAAGCTGAGAGTTAAATAAACATTTCCTTCACAAGCCTCACTTTCCTGCAACAAACCCAAACAGCCTGGACAGAGAATTCTGCTTTTAATTGTGGGCCTTCATCTAGCAGCAAAGGTCAAGGTGCAGCTGAATGGCAAAACTCTTCAGGCTGTCTGAACCTCTTTTTGAGGGATCTTGGCTCCTTTTTTTTGATCATTATCTTGTTTGGCACCTAGCCGCCAGTGTTTTCTTAAGAGCCACGAGGAACAGAGCTATCTCAGACGGAGATGGTCACGCTGATGGGGAGATATTTCAAAGTCACTCTCACCGCCCTAACAATAGCCATATAATCATAGCTAATCAAGGATAATGGATGGGAAGTGGCCACTTGGACTGAAGGGTCATCTATCTTACCCAAAATCTCAACACACACACATACACATGCTGGCTTAACTTCACTATTCTGTTAATAGAATTGTGCGCGTCCCCGGTCCCCTGGAGAGAAGCCCAGGCCTGGAGGTTAAGAGCACATGGAAAGAGGGGTAGAGAGAGATACTGGGACATTTGGGGAACACTGAGCGGCTTCTGTTCCCCTTATTTGCTTACACGCACACACAAAAGCTACATCCCCCACACTGCTTACCTGAAACGGCCTTGCCCGCCAACCCCCCCTCCGCCACTTCTGCATCCAAACCATTAGCTTCACTGCACTCCCAATCTGTCAATCACTGTTTTTTTTTAGCTCAAACAAATTATCATCTGTATCTGCCGTTTAATTGGGACATGACATGAGACACAGTTGCTGTATATCTCAGTCCCTGCAGACAATTTTCCTACACTACGAGGAGTTAATGAATTACAGCCATGGTAATTACATACTCTAAATATAAGCCCTGGGTCTCATTATTTCATGCGGGTGAAAATACATCAGGGAAATCACACTCGCAGGATGATTTGAATAGTGCTATTGTGAGATAAGGCCCAGTAATGGTTTTGTGACACAAGATACTAAGAAAGTTCCATCCACCATCAGTGATGTGTGGGGATTGAGGATATAGGATGAGATTGAAATAAATAACTTTCTCATCATCATCATCATCATCATCAACCTCATCATCATTACTATCTTCATCACACTAGGGCTGATATAGGAATCATTTTTATACTGAAATTGTGATTTGAATGAGTGCAATTTTCAAATCACAGGCGCTGCAAATTTTAATTATAGCCCATATTATTATCAACAATGTTGTCTTACCAAGTTTAAGGTAAACTAATAAGGTAAGAGCCTGAAAATTGCCTGTAGATACGTTAGACCAACCAAAATCATCCATGTGCTATGATATCACAACCACAGCTAACTGGCAGTCTGGCACACTATGTTCAGCCAAAGTGGATTTTCTGTTCTTCTTGTCCAAACTACAGGCCTGGCCTTCATTTCTAGAAAATAATTGTGATTTAAAAATTATTCGTTCGAAAAATTGCAATTTGTTATTTTCCCTAAATCATTCAACCCTATGTCAAGTAGAGCTGCACCATATATTGTTTGTTAATTATTATGCTCTTGCAATACTGATCTCAGACAGCTGAAATATGCAAAAAAATACTTCTAGCCAGCTATAAACATTCTGACCAATCACAGTTCCAGATGACAGTTTCTGTGAGCATCTGAATGAATCAATGTATTGTTTTAATCCAACAAATGTAAATTATATTGTTCCAAATAATGCAGGCCAGTCCATATATCATATAGTTCATATATCGCGAGACATTTTGCATTTGCTATATGCAGCAATATGATGACAATACTAGAAGTTCATTCATGATTTTAACTAATTCTAAACAATGTAGTCTCCTCAAAAATGGTTCAAGCCTGCATAAATAAATAAATAAAACAATGCACATCAAAGCCTCATCAAAAACCTCTGCTGTCATCCACAAAGACAACTCCAGCACCCGAATCTATAAATATCCCCGCTTGGAATATCCAATAAGAAAAACTGTTGGGTTCGTCTTCAGTGTTTGCTCTGAGAGGCGACTTGTCACACTGAGTTGAGCTCCAATGCTCTCCTCTTTCTCTTTCTCTGGGTGTCAGAGTAGACAGCCCACCCAGCTGCTTCCACTGTCTGTGCGCATCTCTTCCTCACAGCAGTGAATCTGCTGGGGCAACTCCAGCGCACAGAGAAAAAATTTTGTCCAATGGCCAGATTGGCGGTGATGTGGACACAGAGGTTGGAACTGGACAGAACAGGACTACAACTGAGAAACACACACAGATTAAAAACAGAGGCATGCTGAAAGTTTGAGGGACGTGTGAAGAAGACGGAGGGACTGATGGATGGAGAGAAGGCAGGCACATGGAAAGCTGGGAGAGGACAGAAAGGAAAGAGCTAAAATAAACACACAGGGCCAGTTTCTCACACACATTAAGTCTAGCCTTGGACTGAAGTGAAGTGCCAATGGTAATGTCCCATTAAAAATCATCAGTCTAGATTAGGCTAAATTTAACCTCCTAAAACATTGGCTGGTCCAGACTCCAATTCCTCACTCTCACAGCTACACTAAAAAATGCAACAAGAATTAACTATATTACATTTATATTGTCTTTCAGTTCACTTACTTTTGGAAATATTTGTGCTGACACTTTTCTGACAGTAGTTACATAGTAATTACTGAGTAATACGCCTTAAGAGTAATAACTAAATAATAAGCCAGTTTCTCAGAGCAAGACTAAGTCTAAGTCTAAAAAATATAGGTTTTTTAATGGCGAAACACCACTGGTGTAGCAAATAAGCCCAATACTAGTTTAATCCATGTCAGAAAAAAAACAGTCCATAGGGTTTAATCTGGGTCTGGAAAGCCAGGCCAGAGATGGATATTTTACATAGATGTCCAGGTTTAGCCATAGAGAGAGAAAGGGGGAGAGAGAGAGAGAGAGAGA